GCCATGCTGTCCACCCTCGTATGCGTATGAAGGATATGCCGCAAACGGCTTGGCGCAGATTTTGTGGATGGGTCCCACGGGTGAGATGACCAGCGCTGAATCGGGCCCAGAAGCCCGTTCCATCATTTTTCGACAAAAGGTTGTGTCCCCGTCTTACAGACGAAAACTTATGTGCGTTCAGCTATAGCGACACGAACAGGAGCTTAAAAGGAATTTGACCCAAACCTGCGCCAAAGTGACCAAAACTTGAAATTTCTCCTTTATTTTATGGACAATTCACAAGCTCACCTGCAGTTCAGCAATCTGTGCATCCAACTCTGTAAGGAACTCTTCCTCAGCCTCATCCATTGGGTCCTTCTCCTTCATTGGCTCCTCATAGATTTGCTTTGATGTGACCCTTGAAAAATACGAACCCGGATAGACCACCGAGTTCGTACGCTCCAGATAAGTTATGGAAGAAGAGACAGCATAAGGCTCCGCATAGTCATTGGGGATTTCAGGAAGTATCCTACGGAACGACTGATTTCGTACAGTAAGCGGTTTAGCGCAAGGGTTACGTTGCGCTAATACGACATTGGGTAGAGTGCGATTTGGGACGATCTGGTAATGAGTCCATGGTTGAGCATAGATAGGCGAATCGGGTCGAGCGTAGAGAGGAGAGCTCGAACGAGAATCGTCTAGGCTTGAAAGCTGTTCGGAACTGTAGCTTCGCTCAGGTGCACGGCAACAAAGCTGAAATAAATATTATTACATATTACTGTATTACCCTAAGATTAATCTACAAGTGGGAAAATAGTCTAACTCCCTTTAAAAACATAAACAGTTTCTTCCAAACAACTTAGCGAAAAGATGCGATTTAACGACCTGGCAGTGCCAAACAAAAAGAATTTCCAAACAAAGCTTTAAACTACTCATAAACAACCTTTCATACGCTTCACCCCGTCAACATTGCTAATGGACCAGCTCTATTTAGCCTTAATGGTTAGTGAGAAAGGACAACAAACCTCTAACTCATGATAAATGTGCTCATCATCGTCACAGACGTTGTCATATGTAGAAAACGACGACGTCTCTTCAAGGAAACAGCCATCATCAATCGGTTCTTCAGCGTATGGACTGCTGGCAGTTTGCCAAGATGGCAAATGTACAGATGAATCGGGGCTAAAATATGTATATACCTTGTTCAAATATGGAAAGGTTGATGAGTTTGATCAGGAAGAAATAAAGGGCATCTGTCAGATACTG